TGTGGTAGTGACGGGACTGTCAACCAGGGGCCCCACCAAGGTTTGGTTGTTCAGCATTTTCTTTGCTTTTATGAATTGCCTACATCCTTCCAACCCTCTCTCCCCCAACCCCTCACATTTTGGACTTAAATTAGCCAAAATCAAAGAACCCTGACAGGTGCAGTCTTTATCACACTGCATGGGATACAGACTGCCTGGTCCTCGAACTGCCTTAAAGTCAGGGTCAAAGAGCATCTGTCTTTGTGCCCATTAGCGCCTTGGCATTTAGTGGGTTGAAGAGCTGAAAGAAATAAATCATGGCCCAATAACATAAACCCAAAGCGCCACAGTTTGATTAAGATGGATTGGAAACCCATACCTTAAAAGGCGGTACAAGCTGAAGATAAAAATAGGATCAAGAAATATTTAAATGTGGATATGGGCTCATGATGGATCTGACTCAGGGGAAATGCCATGCGTTTGCTTTTAAGTGGGTCATCCATGCCAGGCACCATGTTCTTTGTAAAAGAAAAATGCAGGAGAAGAACCATGAATTTAACCCAGGGTGGCATTTCTGACACTGGTAGAAAAGTGTTGTGGTCTCTAATTTCCAAAGATGACCACCCCTATTAAATCACACTGCTTGGTATTCATGCCCTGTGTAGTCCATTCTTACACTGACCCTGGGCTGGCCTTAGGTGACAAATAGGACATGGCTGAACAGACTCTGTGGCTTCTAGGGCTTGGTCACAAGAAGTCCTGCAGCCTCCACCTTGTTCCCTCGGAATGCTGGCTTTTGAGACATTTCGTCTTCAGCTCTGGCTGTCATTGTGTGAGATACTCGAGATACACACAGAGGCCGTGTGCAGGGCTCCCGCGGACAGTGGGCATCAACTCACAGCCACGTGCCAGGGTCTCAGGGCCATCCAGACCACCTGAATCCAAGTCTGTGTTATAAGAAGATTTTAATGCACACTGAAGCTTCAGAAGCACTTCTAGATCAATGGCTCTCCACTTCTTTGTTTTTTCATGACAGCCCATCTCAATAAAACAGAAGACCCTTTTGTCCACATGGGCCTCGCTTGGTCTGGTCTCACTTTCGAGTGGAGACAGACTTTGATCACAAGAACAAAGGTCCCTGTGGATGGTGGGCACCTGCTCCTTCTGTCTGTGCAGTGTTGCTTCTTCTCCCTCTCGTTACGGTGCCTGGCTTTTGGCTGGGGAGCTTCTCCTCGCTCCTTCCACGTGGCCATAGTGGGACTGTACGCAAATGCCTCTCCCGCAGCCCTGGTGAGGGCACGTGAGCCAAGCTGGGTCATCCTTGCATCCCTTCCCTTTGAACACAGACACGGGCAGTGGGGACACTGACCCACAAGAGCCAATCAGAGTTCTTTCTGAAACTGTCAGATCAAGTGAAGGAAAAGATTCTTCACCAGGGGGTTTATCCACAACTCTGTTACCCTGGAGCTGATAACCAGCCATGTCTGAAGTTATCAACTGCTAGACTACTTGGTTGTACGAACAAATACATTCCTTTTAAATTGAAACCATTTGAAATTTGGTTTCTGTCACTGGCAACCGAAGAGTTCTGACTAATATAAGCAAATCTGGAAGGATTACACATATGTCTGGTATAGCAATAGAGGATTGATGGGTTGATATTTCAGCTTGAAATTCAGACATGATTTTTAGATTTGTTATTAGAAACATAATGGGCCCAAAGCTCAGTTGAAGAAGTATGCATCTCTGCACACTGATGCAAACTGGAGCCCACTGGCTGAGTAGTATTCCCTGGTATACATATACCACATTTTATTACTCCATTCATGTATCGATGGGCACCTGGGTTGTTTCCACATCTTTGCAACACTTATGTGCACATATGGAAATAAAACTCATCGGAAATGAAGCAGGTGGGAGGGGGAGGAGAGGATGAGTAAATTTACACCTAACGGTACAATGTGCACTATCTGGGTGATGGGCACACTTACAACTTTGACTGAAACTGTACAAAAGCAATTTATGTAACCAAAACGTTGGTATCCCCATAATAATCTGAAATAAAATAAAATAAAATTGAAAAAAAAAAAGAGTCCACTGGATCAGGATCCTAGGGAGGCTTCTGTTTTCCTGGTATAAAAGCCAAGGCTCAGCTACCACACAGATTTTTTTCTTTTCCTTCCCCTTCTACCTGCCTGAAATGCAGTCACGGTGCCTGGGGGTGCAGCAGGCACCTTGAGAGGATGAGGGTGAAAGCCACATGCTGAGGGTGGTAGAGCAGAAAGAAGGAAGCAGCCCACTCCTTGCTGGTCCTGGGAGCTGTTGTCCCTGTCCAGGGTTGCCCTCCTCTGGGCTTCTTGATATTTGAGGAAAAGTAAACCTATTTGGTTGAGCAACTATATTCGGATTCTGTTACATGCAGCCACGTGTAACCCTAACTTTGACAATGCCCTTCACCCAATACATCCAGAGAAAGGTCTTGGATTTTGGGATCAGGTCTCAGCCCCTCAGTGGCCCACCCTTAGAGATTTGTCACCTTGGACCAACTTGTCATTTTTCAGGTGAGAGACGTGGGGCCTTGTATTCATTTCCTGTCACTGCTGTAACAAATTGCCACAAATTTAGTGGCTTAAAACCACAAATTTATTATCTTACAGTCCTGGAGGTAAGGAGTCCTAAAATCGAGGTATCAGCAGGGCTGCGGTCCTTCTGGAGGCTCGAGGGGAGAATCCATTTCTTCGCCTTTTCCAGCTGCCAGAGGCCACCTGCACTTCTTGGCTCACGGCCCCTTCATGTCAAGAACAGCAGTGTGTGTCCTCCAGTCGGAATCTCTCTCTGACCTCTGCTTCTGTTGTCACATCTCCTTTTCTGACTCTGACTCTCCTGCCCTCCCCTTTCCCTACGAGGACTCCTGTGATTACACGGGGCCCACTTGGCTCATCCAAAATCATCTCCTCACAAGATCTTAGGCTTATTCACATCTGTAAAGTCCCTTTTTCCATGTAAGTTTCTGGAGATGAGGATGTGGACATCTCAAGGGGGTATCATCCTGTCCACCATAGTCCTAGAGATGGAAAGTGACTGGTCCAAGGGCACATACAGAGCTAGTTGTAGAAAGAGAACTACATGGAGACTCACACCATGGGCAGGAGCTCCCTTTCTCCCCTTCCTTAGTATGCAGCTAAAGCACAGCCACTCTCCAAGGTCCATTTCAGGCTGTCTTCTGCCCAGAAGCCACTGCTGCCCTCCATAGCCCACAGAGTCCACCCTCTTGGCTGTGTCTGTGTTGCTCATTGGCACTCCACGCACATTTAGTCAGCAGTCTTAAAGGCATTCACTTGTTCTCTGCCCAGTCTTGACCCTTGAGGGCAAAGATCATACCTTGGACCTTTTTTTACCCCTAGAGCATGCTGCACAGAGTAGAGGCTCAGTATGTATACGGCTCATGTTTGTGGCACATTTTCCAGACTGACTCACTGGGCTCCTATACCATAGAGTCTGGAAGGCTAGAAACTGTGTTTCCCAGACTCCCTTGCAGGTTGGACTAGGTTCCACTAAACCAGACACGGTAAAAGTGAGATGGTGGCCACAGGTGGAGAGAAGGAATCTTCAGAGGACACAGCGGTGGGTGTGCTTGGTTCTTTTGGGGCAGCAGTGCCAGGGGCTGTACTATTAGGTCCCTGGCATCTTAGGAGCCAAGTGATGGGGGCAGTGGTCCCAACGGAGCAGTAGCTGCCTGGCTCCTGGCTGTGCGGTACTTGACCTTGGCTCCTCAGTGCCCCTGGAAATCTGTAAGCTCCTTCTTGTCCCCGCCTTCATTGCAGATCCCCAGAGGCCAGGAACTACCTTTTATATTTCTTTTGTAAACAACTGTAAATAGCTCCCCCAGTAAGCTTATCAACAAAATATGCACAATTCGTTGAACTGGGTTAAAGCTCTAACATTCCGATGAATTTTTCATCCTTTCTGTGAATCAACAGCCTGAAATGGCCTGGGGCATGCTGGCTCAAGCCTGTAATCCCCGCACTTTGGGAGGTCAAAGCCGCAGGATCACTTGAGGCCAGGAGTTTGAGACCAGCCTGGGTGGGCATCATAGCACTATGATTGTGCCACTGCACTCCAGCCTGGGGCCACGGAGCAAGACCTCTTTCTTTAAAAAAGAAAAAAAACAACAAAGAGCCTGAAATGAAGTGGCGAAATAATAATATGGTCCTCCTCCTTTGAAACCTGAAAGCTAAATCAGACCAGAAGTCACATTTTCTCATTTCAATTTAATTACTTGAAAGGGTCATAGGGCTTCTTATATCAATTTTTATTTATTGCAAAAATAATGTAACATTAAGTGGAATTTTGTAATTTATCCAAAAATCTCACTGGTCTAACAGATTGTGATATTTCCATTTTCTTCCCAGCGCTATTCCTACGAATCCTCATTTTTTCAGGTCTGTCTTCTGTATACAATTTTGTATTCTACTTTTTCATATAATGTTAGAACATTAAGCATTTTCCATGTCATTACCTGGTCTTCAATTTTGATGGCGTATTTCTTTCAGTAGCCATGCTATAATTTTTTGAACAATTCTTGCTCTTGAGGTTTAATTTCTTCCAGCTGGTTTTGCGTTATAGCTTACACTGTAGTCATCGTCTTGGTACTTATTTTCTCAGCGTCGCTTCCCAGGCGCGGGATTGTCCCTCAAGGGGGTTTGACTGGTGGTTAGGGCCGTGACACCTCCCTGCTAGAAGATGGGAACACAACGAAGCCCTAGTACAGCCTGTTCTCTTTAATTTTTGTTACTTTTACAGGTGCCCTCTTGTGTCAACTTGCTTTTGACTATTTCGCAGGGACTTGTTTTCTGCTTTTGCTGCTCTTTGTCCACTGTTCTCCAGAGAAGAAGGCGGCCATTTCGGGAGCACGTGACCCCGGAGTTCCGAGGCAGCGCCCACAGTTACGGGTTTGCGCCCCGCTGTCCCGGATTTGCGCGCGGCCGTCCAGGGTTTGCGCGCGGCCGCCCCGCCCCGCCGGACCACACTTCCCAGGCGCCCCTGCGCGGCGGGCGCGGTCGCGGGATCCGGCTGCCGGTTGGGACGCGGAGTCTGAGGTACACGGCGGAGCGCGATGGCCGCGTGGGGCGAGCGGCTGGCGGGCGTGCGCGGGGTGCTGCTCGACATCTCGGGCGTGCTGTACGACTGCGGCGCGGGCGGCGGCAGGCCAATCGCTGGCTCCGTGGAGGCGGTGGCGAGGTGAGTGGGCTGCGGACGGGCCGCCGTGGGCGCGGGACTCAGATGTCTGCCGGGTCCCTCGGGCCACCGCCGGGGGGCGGGGCTGCCACCCTGGCCCCGCCCAGCCCCCGCCGAGCGCGGGTCCCCGACCCGCTGCGGCCGCGGGTGCGCGGGGACCTGGCCGCGCTGGGCCTCCGCGGGGCTGGGCTGCGCGGGTCGGAGGGCCGCCGCTAGGTCCCTGTGGCTGCCGAGCACTCCAGGTGTGGCCAGTCTGAATTGAGATGTGCTCTAAGTGTAAAGTACACGGCGGATGGCCGGGCGCGGGGGCTCACGCCTGTAATCCTAGCACTCTGGGAGGCCGAGGCGGGCGGATTGTTTGACCTCAGGAGTTCGAAACCAGCCTGAGCAAGAGCGAGACCCCCGTCTCTACTAAAAAAAAATAGAAAGAAATTAATCGGACAACTAAAAATATATAGAAAAAATTAGTCGGGCATGATGGCGCATGCCTGTAGTCCCAGCTACTCGGGAGACTGAGGCAGAAGGATCGCTTGAGCCCGGGAGTTTGAGGTTGCTGTGAGCTAGGACGACGCCAGGGCACTCACTCTAGCCCGGGCAAAAGAGTGAGACTCTGTCTCAAAAAAAAAAAAAAAAAAAGTACACAGTGGATGAAAAGATTTAGTGAGAAGAACGTAAAATAGCTTATTGAAATTATTTTATGTTGATTATATGTGGAAATGATAATACTTGTAATATACTGTATTAGGTTAAATAATAAATGGATTCTACTTTTTTTTTTAACTTTGCTAATGTGCTTACTAGAAAACTTTAACTTACGTGTGTGGCTCGCATTATAATTCTATTGGACCGCATTGGTTCAGATGAAAGAAGGGGGAGGAGCTCTTGCCGCCAAGCCTTGCTCATGGAGGACACTCCAGGGCCACTGCCGGACCTGGGCTTCGTAAGGCCTCACGCCGGCATCCCTGGCCAGCGCTGCGTGATGCGATGGGCAGTTGGGAAGGGCTAATTGCACAGGACTTGGCCTCCCAGAGTCACTAGCTGAGGTCCCCTGGCTTGGTGGCCTGACCGTGCCGGGACTCAGTTTACCTACCTGTAGATGGCAGTTAAGTGAGCCTCTTGTTCCTTCTTAGAGATCCACCCCACCGTTCTGTATGTATGAGAGCTGCTAAGATAATAGGGACCCAAACCGCCCTGTATAGCAAAGCAGGAGGTGTTTGGGAGGCTGGAAACTTGGAGAAGGGAGACTTGGCCTCCAGGAGCACGCGAGAAGGGCAGCCAGACCTAGGAGACCCCCTCGGCCCTGGCGTTGGCCCTCAGTGTCAGCTGGAGTCCTAGTTTTTTAACTGCCTCCCTGTCCCCTACCTTATTCTGCATCCGTCACAGACAGCAGAATTATGTGCTGGCACCTATGGGAATGGAGCAGTGGGCACCGGGCTGTGTTTTGGGGTGAAGTGGGCCTCATTTGGGGGAGCAGGAGGCCAGCACCTCAGTGCCGTGACTGAGGCAGGCAGGGGCCTCATGATCCTCACGTCTGGAGGGGAGATGGATGGTAAACCTGCACACAGATGGGTAAACCAAGTCACCACAGGTTGGCATAAGTGATGTAAGTCAACAGTGTACTGAGAGAATGTGACGGGGTGAGGGGGTCCCTGCCAGAGAGGGGGGCCGGACAGCTCCGAGGAGAAGGCATCTTGCCAAACCAGAGGGATAGGAGAGGCAGAGGACGTGCGTTCCAGGCAGGAGGAATAGCAGCTGCCAGGGCCTGAGGCGGAGGGGACGTGGCAGGTGCAAGGAGCTGAAGGGCCATGTGTGCCAGGGAGGAGGGGCAGTGGCCACAGAGAGGTATCCAGACTTTATCCCGAGTGGGAAGAAGTCAGTGAAGATTTTAGGTAGGCCTGTCATGTGATCTGGTTTATGTTTTAAGGAAATTTAAATGTAAAAAGTGAAAACATGAGTGCAAGTGAAAGCAAAGGAGATTTCCTTTGAAATCTTGGATTGAGAGAAAGTCTTCACATCTCTGCCTTCAAATCTAGGAATCAGCAACAGCAAATCAGCAGCCCAGTAGGAATATGGACAAAGGACGTGAACAGCTCGTAAGAAAGGAAAAACGAGGCACCTAAAAGATGCTCAGCCTTACTCAAATAAGAGAAATGCAAATTAAAACTATACCGAGATGCCATTTTTCATCAATTTGAGAAAACTGGCAAAACTCCAAAAGTCTGAGAACACAGTCTCTCAGTGAGTTTGTGGAAACAGACCCTAATATGTGTTGCCTGTGGGAGATCTATTTGGTATCTATCAGCAGTTCCACTTCTGGGAATTTGTCCTACCTCGTCCATGAGAAATGACACAAGTACAAGGTCTCTCCCAGTAGTGCCTTTTGAAATAGCAAAAGACTGGACACAGCTCAAGTGCCCATCAGTAGGGGAGTATCACAGTCCATCTGTCCATACACTGGAGTATAAAAGGAGCGAGCACCCCTCTCTATGGACACACTGCTAGTGAGACAGCAAGCACACAACAGGGTGCACGGTGTGCCTTCTCTTGTGTACAAAGGCAGAAATGCAGGCACCTATTCCTACCGCCGTGTTTGCATAAAGACACTGGTAGGACACAGGCTGCTTCAGAGTCTGTGGGAAGAGCTGGGGGACAAAGGACAGGGGAACTCGGTGGTTAGAAGGAGGGTGGGAAAGACTCCTCACTTTGTATATCAACTTTTTTTTTGAGACAGAGTCTTACTCTGTCACCTGGGCTAGAGTGCTGTGGCAGCAGCCTAGCTCACAGCAACCTCAGGTTCTGCCTCAGCCTCCCAGGTAGCTGGGATTACAGGTGCGCGCCACCACGCCCGGCTAATTTTTCTATTTTCAGTGAAGACAGGGTCTCGAACTCCTGAGCTCAAGTGATCCTCCTCCCTTGGCCTCCCAGAGTGCTAGCATTATGGTGTGAGCCACGCACCCAGCCTGTATGTATATCAACATTTTAAAGGTTTTTGGACCATGAGAATGTATTTCCCACTCAAAATATTAAATTATTTCAAGAAGATTTCTCTGGCTGCAGTACGGAGAATGGATGGGCAGGGGTACACGAGGCAGGGGGTAAGAGAGGACACAGGGCCACTAGTTAGGACCACTGCAGTGGTCCGGGGGAGGGGTGGGGCTTGGACGAGGGAGGTGGCAATGCAGAGGGGGAGCAGGGCGTGAATTAAAGAGGGGTTTTGGGAGTAAGACTGATGGGACCTGCTGATAGACTGGATGTTGTGGGGCCAGGAGGGACATGAGGTAAAGGGTGGCTTCCAGTGTCTGACTTGAGCTCCTGGTAGGGTGGAGAGGGGCCAGGGAGGGGGTCACGGGGCAGGTGTCATGATGTGTGCCAAACTCCTGGCCCAGTGCTTGGCACGCAGCAGCCCTTACAACAGTGCAACCTTTAAATATCATTTTCTGTGTTACTAATATAGGGACTCCTATTGTACGTGCTTTTAATTCTTCTAAAATCAGAGCCACTTAGAAATGACTTATTGTTAAGGTAAATCATACAGGTATTGTGCGTGTAAAAGCCAGTGACTTCTCACCGCTGAACCCACCTGTGTAACCAGCATTTCTGCACCCTCCGTGTTCCTTGACAGTTACTGTCCACCCTCCCTTCCCCCAAGTAATCACTCTCCTGACCTCCAGAGCTATAGATTAGTTTTGCCTGTTATTAACTTGATATAAATGAAATCATACAGTGTGTTCCCTTTTATGTCTTATTTCTTTCACTCAGTGTTGTATTTGCGAGATTTTTTGTGTCTGTGGCGTGTAGTCGTAGATTGTTCATTCTTGTTACCGTGTAGTGTTCCACTGAGTGACTATCGCAATTTATCCATTCTCCTATTGATGGAGTACAGTTTCCCATTTAGGGTTGGTAGGAGTAGTGCTGCTGTGAACATTCTGGAACATGTTTTTGGGCTAGCGCACAGATGCATGTCTGTTGGGCGTGCATCCGTGGGGTATGCAGACCTGGGAGTGGAATTGCTGGGCCCTAGGATAGAGAGGTATGTTCAGCTTCGGTAGATGCTGCCAAATAGTTTTCCAAAGTGGCTGTGCCAGTTTACATTTCAAGCCTGCGACATATGAGAGTCCCAGTTGCTCCATGTTCCAGTCAGAGCACACATCTCCCAGGCAGGTGACGGCTGCAGGTGTGCAGCAGCGGCAGCCAAGACAGCTGCTTTCAGAGAGCACGTACTGTCTGCCCGGTGTAAGTGCGTTCCTCTTGCAGTCTCACTTAGACCCAGCAGGAGCAACTGCAGCTCAGAGAGCGGAGGGCTTGCCAGGTGTCAGAGCTGGGACAGCCCAGGGACAATTTGAACCCTGGTCTGCCCGACCCAGGCCCGTACTTAGCATTCTTTGAGGGGGTAGAGGGCATTGGGAGAGGTCAGGGGCATCTCTCCAACAGTTTCTTCTGAGCAGAGGCTCCCAGCCTGATACAGAACTGTCCAAGAAATGCATGTCCAAGTAATGCATGCGGAGTCCAGGGGGTGGCGTTGAGAAGGGTTCTGCTAGCCTCGGTGGGTTCTGCTGGCGTCTTCTGCCTGATACCCGGGAGGGTTTTGTTTTGATTTGCTTTGACTCCTGCAGATTTATCTAGCTGGGTGTCTCTGGTAACAGCTACACCGTATAAATCTAACAGCAATATAATAACAACTTAAAATACACGGCAGCAGCCGGTTATGTAGCTGAGAGAGGCCTGTGGGATTGTTTTTGATGAGGGCCATGTACCCATCATCCTGGGAGGTTTATCACTGTGCTGTCCCGGGGCCCACAGAACTGACGGCCTGGTATCTGAAACCCCCTGGACTTCCCATGTCACAGGACCAAGTCCCCACCCTCTGCCTGGTCCACCGGGGCCTTCTCAAGTGGCCTTTGTGGCACCTCCCACTGGCTGGCAGCCCACACTGGGGCGCCCTCTGGTTCTTACTGACCTTCGTTTGCTCTCCAGCTCTTCTGTCATTTTTTAAGGACAAGGCC